AAAGCTGTAAATGGCATATAGTACATGGGTCCTGATGACTTGCAGTTTAGTGCATGACAGATCCATTTTATATGTGCTGTCCGAGGTGTGAGGGAGGATTTAAGCAACCCTATACGAAGGATAGAACCACATGAAAGTAGGATGAGAAAATTTGGGTTTATTATTTTTTTTTTTCCCCGAGAGGAAAATATTCTGCATCCGTTTTAGTACCGGATTTATCATTTCAACTTGTTTAATAGCATTTTAGGAAAACAGCTTTGCAAAGCAGGAGCCCCTGATAGGCAGGTTAAAAGCTGTAAGCATTAGAATCAGCCAGTGCTTCTACAGGAATAGACTCCTCTTTGGTTAATACGTTAAATCGTTGACTTACAAGTGATGAAACATTTAGGATAAGTCAGTTCTTGCTGCTTCTGAATGGATGAAAGGTGGTTTATGGCCTTCATTACAAACTTTGAGCCTGCTTTCTCCACTCAGAGAAGCATAAACCTATTTTTCCTGCACAGTACACGCTGCTGGCATAAACCACAGGAGCACTGCTCTGCTTTCACCCCTCTTCTGCCGCGCTTAGGAGACTAATCTGCAACAGGGGATGCACAAATCTGACATGAACTGCTAAAGCTAATCTTAAAATGAGCCATTCATGGACATAACACTGTTTCCTAAATTCTGTGAATGAAATGCAAGTGTGTTGTGCTCTCTCTAAAAAAAAGAACAGGCTCCACTCCTGCAGCGACTGAGATGGTTGTAAAGGCAGATTGTGCTCTCTTGAATTTGCACTGAAAACCACGTGGCCAGCCCAAAAATGAGACTAACCAATGATTACAACAGAATAAAAATAACAAGATAAATATCCTAACCATCACCCCAACCAGGGAACTTTAAAAAGGTCAAGAGGGACAAACTCCTATGCCCTATTTCTTCGGTAAAAGGGTAGCACTAAGAGTTCTAATGTTCCTCTGTGTTTTAAAGCAATCTTTGATCTGAGAGCCTCAATTTTTAGCTTTTTCCTGCAAGGTGGGTATTACCAAACAAGGCAACTAAATAACTTGCCCAAAGCTCTGCATGAGATCTAAGGCAAGACTACGAAGAGATTCCTGTTGCTTGGCTGTAACTGCACTGGGCATTTTTCTTTATGTTTTTGCTTGTATCCCCTTGTGTAGCTGATTTCTTCCCCTACAATCAACTATCTCATTATACATCTTGGACCTGTCTGCCCAGGTGAGAATGCAACACCTTTCAAAAGCACCGGGCTTTGTTTTTCTTAAAAAATGAACAAGTGAGTGAGCCTGGGAGGAATAAATCGCGACAGTAACACGTTAAAAAGGGATGCCAGAGCACACCAGCCCAGATCTGCCGCGTGTAGGTTAAGCAGCAAAGTGCAAAGCAGACAGTCAACTTGAAGTCAAAGAGAAGGATCTTCTTTCGGTTACACTTTTTCTTAAGTGGGAATTCTTCCAATAGCCACAGAAAAAGGATTTTTAAAGCAACTCTCCATTGACTTCAGTGCAGCGACCAGGTGTAGCTGAAGGCAGAACTCAGCATTTCAGGCTTGCAGCCCAAGCTGTGGGTGCTCACAAGTGAACCCCTTAGTCCAGTGCTTTCCTTCTTTTTTGGATTTGGTCCTTCCAATGGATCATCAAATTCCCATAGTGTGAATTTAAACCTGACGACAGGAAGTTTGGTTTTGAGACCCATAGTGTTGGGCTGTGCACCATCACTGACTGCAGGTCAGGGCTCCTAAACCACTGTACTAATGGTATCCCAAATTGTGACAGTAGGTTTGGTTCAGTATAACAAACAGTACAAAAGGCAGGAGGATAAAAACTAAAATAGTTGCAACTAAAGCCCCTTGGGTGCCTCAGGAGACTCTGACAATAGTCATTTCACAAAACCAACGATAAATCAGGTAAAGCTTAGACCCACCGTGCAGGTGAGCTAGGAAACAGACACAGTATCTGTTTTCTGTTGTAATAGTACCACACAGCAGTAATGTTGTCCTCTTGGTGAAGTTACAAATAATCCCATTTTCACAAATAGAAAGTATTGTAAGGATGGAAAGAGAAAGCCTTCATGAGATCCATCTGTCCTCCAGTTCTTTGCCAGATGAACCTGATTTTTCCATAGGTAGATCAAGGCTGGTCATTGATTCTCAAGAAAACAACAAATTCCCTCCTCAGTTAAATGCATTATGCCAAATGCATCCCTGATGCAATTCTGCTCAGAACAATCCTCTTGCTCCGTGGATGAGCCTGCTCTTTGCTCCATTGGCCTGAAGCAGCTCTCCATTTCTCCCTGGAGGTGACTCAGGGATCTATTTCCTTCCCTATTACCAAGTTCAAGCAATTGCACATCACGGATCAAAAACTGTTTCGTATCATTTCTGAAGCTTCCAGGCAAACTCCAGTTACATTTCTTCAACCAAGCTCATGACATTTTTTATTTATGACTGTGGGAATAACAGCACATGAGTAATTCGGGGCTGAACATATACATTTGCAACCCCGAGAGCTGAACAATGCTCCTACCACTGATTACAGCCCTTGTTTGTTGTTATAACATCTTCTGCCTTGGCACAAGCGAACTGCATCAAGATATGCCACCCTAACAGTGATTTGTTTGTGTTCCTCTACATCCTGCATACAACTTATTTTTCTCTCTTTAGGGCATAGCAAGGACAAAGCAT